AGGCTAGAAGAAAAGAAAGTTTGATCACCGCCTTGTAAGCAGACCTTGGGAAGGAAAGCAGGCAGGAAAGAAGGAAAAAGTGGGAGTAAAAGACAAAGGATTATCTGAAGAGCAATTGGACCTGATCCCTCCCACCCCCTTCTTCTGCAAGCAAATGCACATCCACACACATTTCTCCAATGCTGAGTCATACAACAACTGATTTTTTTTTGTTAAAGTGTACATATTTGGGCAAAAAAAAATGACAGAACTGGTTGTTAATTATTCTGAATGACACTACTGCATATGATTAAAACATTTGGTAACAACTGGAAATTGTGGAGCAAGACTGTGTAGAGAGAGAAGGCGACAGAGAGAGTGAAAAAGGAATTTGCAGCATTTAATGTTGCTAGGGTTAAAATAATTTGCATAAGATATTCAGCCATTTGGGATACCATTTGTGGAGCATTACACTCATTCTATCATACGGTCTACAATGCATTCTTTCATCTTCTATTCTGTGTGTCATGTCACTTTTGGGAAACAAAGCTGGTGCAGTGGGAAATCTGAAAGGTTCTTTTCACCATCTGAATGTTCCAGATGGGTTTCTTGGTATACCTAATCCCTGGGTTCAAATTAATGATGCACTTCAGGATCATGAGATTACTTTAGCAGTGATAAACGTATTTTGCATTCTTTCTCACTTGCTATTTTTGTTGGCTTTTTAAAAACACCTTTTGAGATAAGCTGCCATCACATTAACTATCTCATTAATCAGAAGAGTGACTCATACATACAAATTTTGAATTGGTTACATTTATTTATTTGTTTATTAAAAGTCAAAATAATTTGTCTGGAACCAGCATTTGACTGCCCCCCCCCCCAAAAAAAGTATGCTATTTAGTTTGCTTAGCTCTTAGCTCTCTTCTCTTTTGCATCTCTCTATACCTACCAGTTTTTCTCTTACTTGGTTGATCTGTATCTCACAGAAGAGCACATAGACAGACACATGCTTTAGGGCCATTTTATTGGTAGCACCCAATCTGTGAAGCTTTCTGACCTGAAGACCTAGGTCTTTTCTGTGTCCTTTCAGACATCAGAAAGAAAGAATATTCTTCAGATCAGGAGTGGGTAGTGTGTCAATCCTGATTTGTTGAATTCCTACTCCTTTCATCCCTAGACAGCCAGAGGTGAGGGATCATGGAAGTTATACTCCAACAGCTCAGGGTGGTGATGGTGGTTACACATTGCCCATGACTGCTTTAGTTGTTTGTTTCAGAAGAATATATTTAACAATTAGGCATCACCCTCCTGGCATCATTTCATACTACACCCTATACTAAGTACTATATGGATTCTACTCTGCGAAGTGCTAAGATTTCCAGTTTAGGGAGAAGAAACTCCCTCTGAACCAATCTTGCCAAGAAAACCTTGTGATAGGTTTGCCTTAAGATTGCCATAAGTCAGAAATGAAGGCACACAACAACACAATTTGGAAATCTCAACCAGAGAGCTCTCATGTCTCACCAAACTGCAAACTCCAGGATTCTATGGCAATAAAGTGGAATCAGTGCTGCAGTTGTGTAGTGTGGAAAGGCTACAGCAGGGGTAGGCAACCTTTCCCCTTTAAGGGCCGAGGGACTTCAGCTCCCAGAATCCCAGGAGCTATTGGCCAACTTGGGACTATTGGCCAACATGGCTGAGGCTTCTGGGAGCTGAAATCCCTCTGCCCTTAAAGGGGAAAGGTTGCCTACCCCTGGGCTACAGTTTATCATTATTCATGCTGTTTATTTTGGTTTAGTTTGTCATTGTTTTGTCCTTTTCATTGATATACTCTTATTAGAGAAATCAGATTCTTAGTTCTGGAGGGAACTCTTTATCTAAATTGAAGAGGAAAAAAGATAAACTTCTTTTCTCTGTACACTATGTTTCAAATAAAATATGCCCATTCCCTGTAATTACACAGACACAAAATGGGTTGCTCAGTAAAACAGAAATTTCAAGAGCCCCCCCCCTACTTTTTTGTTTCTTTACTTGCTAAACAAAGATGTTCTCCTTACCCCTGGAAGACAAGACCTGAAGCATATGTTGTGTATGATGTCAAGTTATTGGCTGTAGTCTGTGTTCTTACAGCCTTAAGATGACATAATTAGGTACATTTGGGGAAAGTAACTTAAAATGTTATTCTTTGTTCCAGTTAACTCATCACATCTGGCACAGAATACCATACAAGAAAACAGGAAAGCCTTTTGTCTAGATACTTAGAAATCACAAGCGAGATGTGTTTCTTTTCTTTTGAGCATGGTCATGTTCTTTTAGATTTTTACATTTCTACAGTTCTGCCACTGCACTGGATATTTTCTTGCTATGTTGTATATAGTCACTTATTATGTTTTTCTGGAATTAATAACAAATGGGGGATTGCTAGGATTGTGATGCGCTAGAAGGGAAGGCTTATTTTTTTCTGAGTGACTGGAACACCACTACTATTCCATGGGCTCATTCCCACTTGCATTTAAAATGCGATTTGCATTGACACCGGGTTGGGGATTTGATTCAAGCCAATGTGTAGTTCCCACTATGGAAGTGAATTATTTCCTTATTCCATGTTGTTCCCACTAGTGGGAATGAGCCCCAAGAAACATGTGCTTCAGTCAGGCTCAAAATGGAGGATGCTTTTGGACAGAAGACTGAAAGGGAGGACTGTGTCCTGGAAAAGGTCACCCAGTGTGGGAGCCGCTAAGCCCCAGACTGCCAAAAACCAGACCCCATTCAGTTCCCCCCACACACACCTCGCCCCCCTCCCCATACCTCCATAGCTAGGGGAGACAAAAGCAGCCAGAAAGTGCCCCACAAGGCACCCCAGCAGTCATCCTTCCTCCTCTCCCTCTCTTGGTGCCTTGCGGGTCTTGCAGGAGGAGGCTGGGGGTCTGGAGCATCCAATACCTCAGGCGGGAAATGGGAAGGCCAGGGGTGGGGGTGGCAGAGGAGATCCCCCCCAACCCATGCAAGGGGAGTGATTTTGAAAGGCAGGTGGTGGTGCTGCTGGTGATCCAGTCCCTTTCCTGTAGGGCTCTGGGGCTGGGGGAGAGTCCAGCCTCCCTTTCTCCCTTCTTCCCTCAAGCTGCTGCATCCTCTTCTTCCCTGCCTCAGAGGCTGCTCCTCCTGCCACACCTTGGCCCCAGTGGGGCTCCGTCTACCTGCCTGCCTGCCTGCCTCAATCGAGAACCAGGAATGATGGCATGGCCAGAGTCACAGAAGGAGGAAACCCACACACATACACCTCTATATTCCTTCCCTTGGGGATCTTTTAAAGCCTCTTGTTCCCATTCTCTTTCTCTGGGGACTCTCATCATGATGCGAATCAGATCCGTCGTTCACACTTGTGGAACACTCTTCCAAATTGATTTTTCCCCCCAAAAGAACCACCAAAAAACTATTCTTTAAAAAGAGCACTTTTTTTTTTTTTTTGCTTTTCATAGAATCATAGAATCATAGAGTTGGAAGAGACCACAAGGGCCATCCAGTCCAACCCCCCTGCCATGCAGGAACTCCCAATCAAAGCATCCCAGACAGATGGCCATCCAGCCTCCGCTTAAAGACCTCCAAGGAAGGAGACTCCACTACTCTCCAAGGGAGTGTGTTCCACTGTCGAACTGCCCTTACTGTCAGGAAAAACAGTCTCATTTCAAAGCGAGTCCAAGCGATCGCAGTCCCATCTGAAACCATTTCCAATGTGAACAAGGCACATATAAAGCGATCAGCAAATTGCTTCAAATCATAGTTGGAATGAGCCCTATGTGTCGTGCTAAAATGTGTCAGATAAAATAATTCCCCACTGGAATCACTGGAGACTTTTATCTAAGCATTCTAACTATATATGATGAGTGAGGAGATGGTTGTTCCTGATTTTGTGGGAAGATAGAAACCTCTCCTCCCCAAATCTTATGCTCTAAGGATGCATCAACAGAAATAATGCAGTTTAACACAACTTTAACTGTCATGGCTCCATCCTATAGATTTTTGGGATTTGTAGTTTTGCAAGTTCTTTAGCCTTTTCTTCTAAAGATTGTTGGTGCTTCACAAAACTTCAGATGGGGAGACTCATCCTGTAATTTCATATCATGTTCATTCCCAAAACTTCATTCAGAAAACCAGAAAATCTTTCAAGGAAGTGAAATTAAACAATCTAAAATTGTGCTGAGATGCTCATTAAAGCATGCTTTCTTAGTGGTAATTAGCATGCTTTCTTAGTGGTAATTAGTTAACTAGTATAAATTTACTGGAAATTCCAATTTAATTCCAGTAGTATATTTCTATGGGAAATTATTGTATGATTCCAAATTCACTATGTTCCATTTAGAAGTACTGTATGTCATTGTTTTTTCAATTGATCACTCTAGTTAACAACAGCCCTCTGTAAGTCCACTCAGAACAAGTCCCATTTAGTTCAATGGGCCTTATCCCCAATTAGGTTGGTAAAGGATTACAAACTAAACTCCTTTGATTTTCCCACAATCACAATCTATCATGAAATTGAGAAACATTTAGTTAATAATCAGTTTCTTATTAGCGAGCCAGCATGGCATAGTGGTTTGAGTACTGGACTATAACTCTGGAGACCAGGGTTCGATTCCCAGATCAACCATTAAACCCAGTGGGTGACCTTGGGCATGTCACATGCTCTCAGCCTCAGGGGAAGGCAATGGCAAACCTCCTCTGAACAAATCTTTCCAAGAAAACCCCATGATAAGATTACCTTAGGGTCACCATAAGTCAGAAATGATGCACACAACAATGACAACAACCTCTTATTAGCTCATGGATTAGCCTGAAGAAGGAATAAAAATATGTTTGAGATCCATAGGGTTTTCTGTGCTAATCCTATCCTCAGTTTATTCATGTGTGTTAGCCCTGTCCTCTCAGGGTCATCAAGGGGATCGTTTTCCCCCCAGGATTAAGCTGTTTTTCTTCTCACAGTGGGATTCCCTCAGAGATATATACCTTGGCAATCAGACTTACAAATGAAATGTGCATTTTCACATGACCAGTCCTCAGAACAATGGATGTAAAACACAAGATATATAGGTGAGGAGAATCATGTGCTATGACAAACATGTCTTTTGCCACTTGGAATTCTTCCATTCTTGAGCTTTTTGCATTGCATGGAAAAGGTTGAAAATAGCTTCTGTGTACAATCACCTATATTCAAGTAGAACTTTCCATACAATTTGAAACCTTGATGGCACACAGTTCTTAATGAAGCACAGTGCCTTCTGTTTGCTTTTGAATGAACAAGCATAGAAACCTCTTTCAGCCTTCCCTACTCAACCTGAAAATATAAAGGGCAAGGCCATGAATATCTGGGGTAGGAACTGATGCAGTTAGCTTCATGAACCACATAGCTAGTACTGTTCTTTTTTCAGAGATTATATCTGAATAGGGCTGCAATGTACTTAACTTGTAGTTGCACCACATCAAAGTGTTTTTGTTGTTAAATGTTTCTGTAGTGAATTAGCTGGAGAATGAACTTTCAGATTATTGCGAATGAAAGTACAAGGGATAATTTGATGCAAAAGTGTTGAAGTGCTGTGGGATTAAAAGAGAGTGCAAAAATACAGGAAAGTTATTCTTGTACTGTGTAGAAAAATACTAGCTACATTCTTGGCTGAATGTGCACAGAATTAAAAGAAATGCAGATTTTGATATGCACACCTATTAGGATAACCTTCTTTTCATGAGTTTTGCAAATTGCATTTTTAAACAAAATCTGAAGACTGGTATTCAGATTGTCTGAAGATTGTTTTAACATCCTTGTAGATTTAATTTATAAAACCCGTTTCTGTATGTCCACAAACACAAAATAAAACTAGCTACTGACAGTCTCCTTCTTTCTTTACTTGAAAATTTCATAGGATTTAGTATAAGGGTAACCTTCTTTTTTCTTTTTCTTTTTTACTTTTACACTAAAACTATGAACAATATTTAATAGTACATAGGATATTGATTTTAAATTTCATCTAAGTACCAGCTATCCAAATATGAATGTTCAGTTTTGATTGTTGCTTTCTCCAGTCTAGGAGTCAGAATCTGTGTCTTTTTCCAAATTCAAAAATGCTGGGTGTGAATTTTACACAAGAAGTGTTTCCTTTTTGGTGTTGGCCAGCTGTTACAACAGTGAGAAATCCACTATTGAAACAGTACTTTCTTCTTCTCCCCTCCCGTGCCTTGCAGTTTGTGCTCCTTTCCATTTTTTTGCTTGTCCCAAACATCATAGGTAAATTTATCATGTTTAAAATAATAAATTACTCCCTGTTAGATCTCGTCTCTTTGTTCCCACTACTTCTTTTCATCCCGATATCTTTCTGCAATCTATCTGCCAGCCCTCTTATTGTGTCCGTGATCCATTTCAACATTGCCATACTCTTCTGAACAATTTACATGGTGTCTGGTAGGAGCAGGTTAAAGTTTAGAAATAGCAGGTATTTGCACACTCTTATCTTTTTCTCAAGTCTGCCAGCAGACTGTCCTCACAAACTATGTATTTCTTCTGTAGAGGCAAACAGCTGTAATTGGACCATGGACAGCTCCTTCTCTCCCCCCCATTCCTTTCTTCTTTCTTGGCACACACACACTTAGTGATAGGGGCCTCCTGATGTACAGATAGGTAGGAGGAATACTTTTAGTTGTCTTCTTTTACCTAGCCATACTTGCAAATCAGCTGAACTTCAACAACATGAAAGATAAGTGGGTGGTTTTCTTATTATATTCTTTGCCTCAGATTTTCCCTAGGTCATTTTCAGTTGCAAATAATGTTCCTAAAACTTAGGTCCCTTTCACGCTACACAGTTATAGCATTTTGGTCCTGCTTGAACTGCTAGGGCTGCAGTCTATAGAATTCTGGGATTTGGAATTTAGTGAAGCATTAGAGTTTTCTGCCAGAGAATTCTAAATACTTTATGAAACTACACATTCCAGGATTTTACAGGATGAAGCTGTGATGTTTTGAGCTATTGTATTCCAAATGCAAACATATTTTGTGTGTGTGTGTGTGTGTGTGTGTGTGTTTTATGTTGGATAATGGAGTTCACAGAATTTCAAAAGAAAACCAGCCTGTGCTTCATAGATTATAGCAAAGCCTTTGATTGTATAGATAATGAAAAGTTATGGCTTGCTTTTAAAGAAATGGATATGCCACAACATCTGATAGTAAGCTATACTCAGGACAAGAAGCTACTGTTAGGCAGAATAAAAGAAATGGAATGATTTCTAATTGGCAAGGGGTCCAGCAAGGATGAATTTTATCATGTTATCTGTTTAACACATATGCCAATAATATCACATGTAAAGTAGGAAGGAACCACTCTATTTCTCTGTATTCTGTTCTAACTGTGACCTCTTGTCCTGAGTATAGACTGTGCAACAGGACAATCAAACATATTGGCACACCCAACTCTTTAAGTGCAATCCATAGTTTTTCATGATCTATGCCAGGGGTAGGCAACCTTTCCCCT